ACAGTAGACAAAATATTCCAATGCCACGTTTTTGAGGTTCACATTTCCTAGAGACCCCTGGTAGCTGCCATTGGAGTGTGACTGCTGGATGTGCTCAAGAACTAGTGAATACTTTTGTTTGCTTCTCCCTACCACTCTGTAACTCGTGTTCTTGATCTCAGTGTATCCAGACTCCAGGAAAAGAGGATTCTTAAGGATGCCTCATAAGATTGAAATTATTCTTCCACACCTGCTCTGACACTTGGGTTTCATGTCCTGCATATAGATAAAGTCAATAGCAGGGAAGAATATGACCAGAAAAGAGTTCTGGCCTTCAGCAGGTACAAAATAGCATCATTCCAAAGGATTCAGTGGAGCTGTGCAAGTACACACAAACTGCAAGTTGGAGTCAAAATTAAAGCCCTTGTGACTTCATTGTGGAGGCCTCATCCCTGGAAGTGTTCAAGGCCAGGTTGGATTGGGCATGGAACAACCTGGTCTAGTGGAAGGTGTCCCTGCCCATGGCAGGGGTTTGGAACAAGATGAGCCTTAATGTTCCTTCCAAACCCAAACCACTCTGTGTTTCTATGATTCATGATCCTGTAATGACACCAGATCCCATGAAAGACTTACTTTTGTTTCAATGAAGCTTGTTCAAACCTTTGATGAAAAGAAAGACAAAAAGGATGGAGAGAAAAAAAGATGATGTTTTTTAAACAACAGAGTTTGTTCTCTTATAAAAATTGAAAATATTCACTACCAAGAAGAGAAGCACACTCATATTCCTGTATCTGCAGATCCTCTTTGGAAAGCATGGAAAGTTTTGATCCCCTCTCTTGGAGAAATTAACTCTGCCACCCATAAGCTTTGAAAAATACAGATTGTAAACTTTAAAGAGTTTCGTAGGTTGGATATTACTGATAGATTATTGATATTATTGATTGCAAGGATAAAGTTTAAATTAATAAAAAGCAATACCTTGGAACTGTCCACGTCAAGACTTTCTCTGAAAACATCAGGTTGAAATTTCACAAGTGCTGATTTCTAAGATATCTCAGATCCCACTGACATCAATGGTACAAAAGCATTCAGCATTGACACAACACTACCCCCATTGATGCTCACAATACTTTACATGCCTGTTACAGTACATTGATCAACTTCAAACATCAGTGGCTGGATATTGTTGCACCTTTCTCTGTCATATGAAAAGGCCCTTTGCTATCAGCTGTAATTTTTGCTGCTACTATTCAGTTCAGTCTCAGCCTTCATCACTGAGGATCTGTTAGCAGAGCATCAGCAAGTTTGGTTTCTGGTTCATAGCTAAGTTTGTGGCCCTCTTTTCTGTATCTCAGGCACATTAAATGAACACATTGTTACAGGAGCTGTTTTATGAGTGCTGCGTGCCAAAGAAAAATCCCTTCTTTGGCCTTTTCTCTGTCTTCATCTACTTGATAAACTCATAGATCACGTTGGTTAATTTAAGTAAAGCTCTACAGCAGGAGCTCAGGCTGAAGCAGTTTGCTATGGATGACCCTATATCCCTTTCCTGAGCCAAAGCATTTCAAGGTGGAATTTTTCATTGTGTAGCTGTAGGTGTCAGACCGCATTTAGCTGCACTGAAGTGCATATTGCTGGACTGTCACCATTTAATTAGGTGATTCAAATCAATTTGTAGGTGTAACTTCATTACTTACTGTTCAACAAGTCTGTGCCATTCACAGATGTAACTGGAAGAGACCTATGCTGCCATTTAGATGCCCAATAAAATGATTAGACGGTTTCATTAAATCGGTCAATAAAACCTAAAATTATTTTTCTCATTTTGAGATCTGCTTTTAAACCAATTTGTAACCCAATTTGCTCTGCAAATTCTATTTTATTCTTCACTGCTTATTCGCATATATTTTTGTTGATAATTTGTGTGTATGTGTGTGGTTTTTTTACCTTGCAGTGTTTTTACAGCAATATTCCTCTGTAGGTACCTGACTGATGGTTTGTCAACAATTCCCTGCTTTCACTGACATTTTCCATTTTCAAGTTACTCTCCCTGTCAAAATTTATGTCAAAAATTTCTGTCAGCTCTGGGACAGTGACCCTAACAAAAAATTGGCATATATCCATTACTGCATAGTGCTATTTTTTGTTTGCATAGAGTGAGTGAGCCAAGACCATGAGTCACTAAGCAACTGCTAATTTATAGATCAATGCTGAGCTCATTTCTGTCTGTTAACACAATGTCCAGTCCAGAGATGGCTGAAGAAGTCACTGCAACAATAAAACATTTTATAAATAATGCCTTACCTATTGTTTTTAGAAGCACTAATGAAGTTTTATTGGTTTATGGGTTTTTTTTTAATCTCCTTGCAGACTTTCAACAGCTATCCCCAAACAATCATCTCAGATAACTCAATCTGCCTTCACAATTGCCTCCAAAAACAGCTGAAGGGGTGACATTTTCCAGGTGCTTAATGGGAAATCTATTATTTTAAACACTTAAAAGATGTTTCACATCAAAATGTTTCTACTGATAAAATTATTAGGAAAAAAAAAGCAAAAACTATCTCATATATCTTACCTGATACTAAAAGCTGAAGTGATAACAGTTCTATTAATGCTGAGGCATAGAGAGACTGGTTTCCAAAATGTAATCTCTCCTAAACATTTCCACAAGGTCTACCATGACAGATTCTTGCCATTTCATCTGACATTTCATCTAAATATTCACTGGTTTGCAGAGATGATTCCAGAAGCACTTGGATTAAAAAATGACACGGTGAAAGTCAGAAATATCCCAGTGATACAAAGCAGAAGCAGACAAAAAGCTGCACATAGATTACAAACAGTATTTTTTAAAGGAGTGAGATTTTTCTAGAAACAAATACAATAATGACTGCTTAGCAATGCTTGTGAAACCATCAAATATCAACATCAGCAGAGGGCAGAGACAGAAACACATGTCTATGACACACAGTGATCCATGAGATCTGAAGGACATCAGTTTTAAAAGTTTCCATGACAGTCAGCAAATATACAAGGACAATTCCTAAAGTAAATATACAGCAGTAAAGCACCATCAGCACTTAAGCAGTTGCTTTCACTATGCTATGAAATTATTTTAAATTATACTAAAAGGCATTAGCAGAATCAGAGCAGAATGTGCCACAGCAGAAGGTGAAAGATAACACACTCAGAATGATTAATCCAGTCTGAGATAGGTTTGAAAATCCTTTACATTAAAAGAGAAACCTAGCAACTGCTGCCAGACATTTTTAAAATACTGTACATGCAAATATACATTTTAATGGCTTTATAAACCACCACAAGATTATGTAGCAGTAACATTAGCAAGCTCTTAATGAGCTGAGTTAATGATTAATACAGTAATGCTGCCCTGCATGTTTGCTGCAGTTAAAGAGCTCAGGAATATTATGCACACAGATTTTAGTCTGCCAGAGCAGGTCACTGTGAGATGATTTAGTTACCTAGGAAGGGACAAAAGGGTTGATTTTTACAATAATTCCCTTCTGGTGAGATAGGATTGCTTTCCATTCAAACAGAAATCCCTATACCCAAATTAGATCATTTGGCTTTCCTCACTGCCAATACTGAGTCATCCCCTTAGACACTCAGAAACAAAACCAGTTGCTACTGATGGTAGCAATGCATATCTGAATTTGGATGCAATGTCCAGTTTTAATGCTTGTTTATTCAATTACTGTTTAAAAATATTACACAGATCACAAAATGGTATCAGTCGGCCTTGCTGCCTAAACTAATTTACTGAGATTCTTTGTCAAGGAAAAATGAAAGAAAGAACATGTAATTTGCTAAACAAGACCCTCTTTCTTGCAGGATCTGATGTAAAGGCAACAGAATACTTATGCAAAATTACATAAAAATTTCTCTGGAGAAGACTCACAGTAGATGTTTTGGGGGCTTGGGTTTTTTTTTTTCTCCTTGAATTAGAAAGTGTGCACAGTTTTCAGAGCATTAATTTCAAATTGTACTATTATGTACTTGTTATGATATGTTAATTCAGAAGAGCCTATTTGGATGCATAGACTTAATTTGTTGCAGACTTCTGCTAAAAGAAATTATACATTTACATATGTATATATATAAATGTGTGTATGTATGTATATGTATATATATAAATGTGTGTGTGTGTGCATATGTGTGTATATATATATATATATATATATATATATATATGCCTTTGGGTAAGTGAAATACAGCACCTATGGAGAAGGAAGTCGAAGACTAAGCCAAAATATCCTTCACAAGGTAGAAATAAACGGAAGATTTTGCCTTAAGTGGACTTGGAGTGACATCTTGTGCCATAAAAAAGCAGTGCAAGTAACGAGCTACAGACAGACCCGCTTCGACAGAACTGCAGAAGCTGCTTGATCGGTTTTCTCCCTCTCCACTAGGAATGTCAAAAAACGTTGACAAGAAGACTTTAACAAAAGTCTTTCCAATTTTCAATACATTTAACCTCCGTACTCACAAATCAGAAGTCTTTGATGGCATTTGTTTCAGTGAGGATCCCATTTTCTGCCGAGCAATCCCACCACTGGGAAGTGTTCAGCAGGTCTGACTGCAACAAAATGAAAAGAAAAAAAAACAACAAAACCACGTAGTGATTTAATTATAATTACTCTTAATTTGATAAAATTCATCCAGTGCAAATGGCTCAGTGAGCATTTTTTTTTCCTTGAGAACGGCCCATTTTAACTGATGCTGACATTTGCAATTGATTCCAGTTAATCCACAGTAAAGTCCTGTGCTGCAGTTGTGCACAGTTAATCTCTACTGCCCCCCCCAAGATAATCTGCTGTACAGGAATGACACCCTCCCATTGCACAATCCATAGTAAAACTCGCTAACCCTCTTTTTTTGACACTTCACAAACCAGCTTATCACCCCTACTCCACTACCCTGCACATGAAAAGAGCAAGAGGAAAAGTCATTGCAGCTTGAATTAACCACCAGCACTGGGTCAGGTGCCTGGCGAAGGGATGGGGAAGGTGTCCAGTGTGTTGCTGTCAGACCGTTGGCCAAGCACAGCTGAGGAGCACAAGCATCCAGTTTCCACTGTCCTGTAAGGAATGGAGCACTAATCCTACAGAAACAGGCTGAGAGAGCCAGGGTTGTTCAACCCGGAGAAGAGAAGGCTCCAGGGAGCACAACGTGAATTGGCCAATCTGCAAATGTTGGGTAAAACATGAAGTAATAAATCTGTGAGGAGGTAGCATTTGGAAAGTGAAAATTCAGTTCATGACAATGAAGATACACAAAATGCATGTCTTGAAATATAAGCCAAGCTTCGAGTCCTGTTATCTTTGAGTTATTTATTCTGTTACTTACTGAGTCCAATACAAGGATAAGTGTGTGCAATCCTCAGCCTTCCTTATGAAGGTGGTCAGAATATCTTATACTCCACTACTTTCTGGATGGATAGAACCTCCAAACCACGAGCCACCCTCATACCCAACTCCAACAAGACCTTGGAGGACCTTCCAGTGTCTAAAGGGGCTACAAGAGAGCTGGAGAGGGACTTTTATAAGGGCATGGAGGGATGCAACAAGGGGGAATGGCTTCACACTAATAGAGGGCAGGGTTAGATTGGGTACTAGGAAGAAATCTTTGGCTCTGAGGGTGCTGAGGCACTGGCACAGTTTGCCAAGAGGAGCTGTGAATGCCATATCACTTGGAGTGTTCCAGGTCAGGTTAGATGGGGCTTGGAGCAACCTGGTCCAGTGGGAAGTATATTCAGGGTGTGGTTTACATAGTGTGTGGTTAATACATCATGTAAGTGCTTTCAAAAGGAAAAAAACCCAAACCTGCTGCAACAGTCCAGCTCATTAGCAGTAAGTGTTTGGTAATTCTAAAGATTACCCGTAGCAGCTGTGTGATTACTTAAAAATATTGTGGCAGGGGTTTTTATACTCTCAGTTATATTCTGACACATTTTTTCATACACGTGGAGGGGATTTTGTTCAGGTTTTTGGTGGATTATGAGCTCTGACTGGTTTGTTTTTACTGTATCTTTATGCTTTGTGCAAATACAGTTTACCGAGCTCAGGCATAAGTAGGTGCAATTCCTCACCCTTCCTTATGAAGGTGGCCAGAATAGCTTGTACTATTATATTATTTTCTGGACCTTTAGAATACAAAAAAAAAAGTTAATTTAAAAAGCAATTAAGTATTCCAAGCAATTTCAAATTTCTTATATTGTGATCCTTGTGATTCCATTAGAAATACAGATTCTGGAATGCAATCTTCAGGAATTTGTATCTTCTTTCCAAACTCCTTGGAAATCCAGTGACTTTTAAGCTGTGTGAGTGGCTACACGTCTGATAATATTAACATAATTTTACTAAGAAATACTAGAAAATAATAGTCACTACAGAGAACTCAAGAGAAGATGAAGTGCTAACCAAAACGAGAATCTTGAAGAAATAATTAAGGAGTTACAATCTGGAACTTCTTACTGAAGTATCAAAAAAACCCCCATTTTTAGATATGTATCAAAATGTTTATTACAGGTTTTTGTAATTTAGAGCCTACTTCTGGAATTTTTTTCCTTCTCATTTGAAACAACATTTCTTAAAACTAGAATAATTACATTGAAACCATTACCAGAAAACTGGTTAGAAAGTAGATATTTTAATGACAATAATACTTTACTTAAAAACACATAATCATTTATCATGAATCATTGTAACTGCTGCTGCTTTCTCTCTGTTGGCATAACTGAAAAGCTTTCTCAGTCAGCTGAATTCTGCACAGAAGGTGGGGTCTCAAATTATTTGGAACTACTTAACAATTTTCTGTGCAATTTATTAGCCCCTTGACAAAAAAGAGTGACTTGTTCAGTGCTGCAAAATAATACCTCTTCTGAGAAAATAGATGGTCTTCAAAATGTGTAAATTTGCAAAAGCTTTATCTTTATTGCAATAAAATTTCCAGGATTGAAAATCTGGAAGCCCTAACAAATTTTAGTCTACTTTGGTTGAAAAATAACTGATGAAAAATATAGAGGTGAGTCTGGTGTCCTTCTTATGATTTCTTCTCTTCTAACTGGTCTAATGTATGGTATTTTAATAGTATGATATATAAATGTGTCTAATAAGACTTTTAGAATTATTGAACAGCAGAAAGGAAAAATTTTAACTTCAATTTATAAAAATTAAGGGTGAAACATTATTTTGAACTACTTATCTGTCAAGGTTTTCACTAAAAGACTTCTGAGGTACTTGGTGTCAATAAGATTTCTTTTAGTTTTCTTATACCTACAGATTTTTTTCTCAATTTCACTATTATGTAAAAGGATTACCATGTAATTTTTATGGGAGTTTTTTTGTTGTGGTTTTGCTTTGGGGGTTTTGGTGGTTTTTTTAGTGTTTGGAGTTTTTCTTATTTTTGTATAACTTGGAGACATTAACTCCTTATCAGGAGGAAGTTTTATCCTGGCTTCTTCTTATGCTGTTTTTTATCAAATTAGCTCCTATGAAAAATTAATTTCCCCCCATACCAACCTTTGAATTGGAGGGTGGTCCAGAACCAGTGAGAGCTCTGCAATTAGCAGCTTGGCACATAAAGGGAGAAGGAGAAATGTCTAAATGCCCATTTGTAGCAAAAAACCATGTAGCTTTCTCAATTCCCTGACTCTTCGCACCTCAACAGGGAGATGGAATTGCTGCAGCTCAGTCCATTTTCCCTTGGAAGAGCACATGAAAAAAAGGGAGATACTGATGCCAAGACAAAAGCAGTTAGAGCAGAGGGAGATGCTGATAAGGATGAATGAGACCAAATCACTGTGAACCTTCAAACCCATAAAAAAAGAGGAGACAGAAATTGAAGTATGATGACAGGTAAGAAAAGGGAAGACTGAGAAATGACAGCCTATAAAGTACAAGTGTAAAGGCAAGCGAGCGTTTCCAGAAATGATTATTTACTAGCAAGGATGCTACAAACACCAGGGGCATCTCACTGCAAAGAACTGCGGTGTCATCATGGAGAGCAATGATTGACATCAGTGATTTAGTTCTCATGAGATCCCCCAGGCCAAGACATGGGCTGCAGCCAAAAGCTAATGAGCACTCATGACATGAGGCATGATCTGTTAGGTTTCTCCTGCACAACTGTGAAACTAAGGCTAGGGGACTGTTTATTTTCATCACAGTATCATTTACAGAGGCTTTCCAAGCTAATTCCCTTTTGGCAAAATGCATTCTCTCTTTCCATGTCAAAAGGAAGCTATAGTTTGCAGCAGAGGCCAACATTGTTTAGACTCCAGTCAAATTTGTTTTTACATTTGAATGATCTGCCTCTTAGCCTACAGGCTCTTCAGCATTTGCAGTGTTACATTAGATTAAAACTGTATTGTTTAAAACATTCACAGGGCTTACATACTCTGTAGAATTTGCAAGAGGTCAACCTCACTGGGAACTCAGGAAAAATAGGAAGGTGATACCAGCCTATCATCATTCTCATTACTGCCAAGTACATGGTTTCATCTTTCCCTGATCCTAATAAAACTTTCCTACCAACTTGCATGGTTCAGAGTCATATCCAAAAAACACTGATCACTATAAAGTCTGTGTCAAAACTCCCTAGGGCTTGTCTCTGTTTAGTCCAAAATCCTTTCCATTGATGAAGTCATGTCAAAAAGGACAGAAAATACATATCAGTGGGATTTGTGCATATTTTTATTTTTATTTTTCACTGCCTTTAGTATAAAGGGCTTTTAAATTAAATCTAAATCAAGACTGTTCAATTGTAAATGTAAATGGAAATAATGACTACATTTCTAAGCAGATACTAGATAATTGTTAATTTTTCTTGGTTTATCTTAATCTATAATAAAAAAAAATCTTCCAAATCTATCCCTGCATTTTGAGTGGAAATAGAAAATAGTTATTAATTAATAATTATTACGTTTGTGTTGTCATTATTCATTCTTCTTCAGCATTATCAACAACCAAGTTTCTAAAACACTTAATGTGTTGCAGGGCATCCATTTCCAGTTTCAGTTCTGCCAGGTTCGTACTTATTTGAATTTAATGCCTCAAGCCTTAGGTAAGAGCTTTGACCAGTGGGCTCTTCAATGGAACTGCATAAAAAAAAAAGCCTGAAGAGATCCAGTCCAGAACTGTGGACTAGGTAAGATATCTAATGTGGTAAATTGGATTTTAATTAGCCAGTCAGTAAAGGGGTTTGCAGAAGACCCTCCTGCGGAGTTCCCCAATTATTATGGTTATTGCCTAATCCAGTTGGTACCATAAACATTTCTCAAATGTTTTGGATATTAGAAATGTCTTTCTCACCCAACTCTCAAGCTAATGGGTGAGTTTATGGGGTTTTTTTCTGATTTCCAGCTGATCAGTCTGTTTCTCCTCTTTTAAGAACAATACAAGTAACATAACAGATCAGAGTCAGACTGGAGTTGCCTCAGTACAACCACAGTTATTCTAAGATGAAAAGACCTGTGTTACTGACTTCCTGTACAGCAGTTTTTAAACATTCCTAGTAGTCTTTAATGTATTTTGAGTGAACTCCTTGCACGTACAGTGTAACTGGAAAATCTTGCTGATTACGTAAATCGGACTCCTTAAAAGTACTTTGATCCAGAGTCAACAGATTCTTTTGACTGAGGGTGCACAGACCAAGGACTCTATTGCTGCAGGATCCTGCCATTATGGTCATATCTTCCTTCTTTGGTTCCCATATGTAGATCAGGTCATCTTGGAAGCAGACATCAGCTTCAGTCACCTCATCTCTCTCACAAGTGCCTATAGGTTATATAGAAGTGCCTGGATATATGAATATTTTAAATAATAATCTCATTGAGGTGTATAGGCAGAGTGCACTAAGTTGTCTTAAGAAGAGTTTTATGGATTTTTTTTACTTGGGAGCCAAATCTTTGGCAGTTATTCAAAGGCAGTGAGTGGTTTATACTCTTGCTTTACCTTATCTTAGCTGTATAGCAGTTTGATAGATCCTAAAGATTTACCTCTTAAAACAGAATGCAAAAGGAGTTTTGCTTTCACAAAGCAGGGAGTCATTATCATGCCACCCAATGATCAAATATGTGGGGAGAAGTGATCGCTGGCCTCAGGTGTCTGAAGAAAAGCTGCACTTCTATTTTAGCTGTACCCTCTAACTCTTGTTGCTGAGACCTGCATTGGAATGAAGTCACGTTGAGGGGTCAGTCCTGCCTGGGTGAAACAATGGCCTGAAGTTGTGTCAGGAGAGGTTTGGGTTGGATATTAGAAAAAGGTTCTTCACCCAGAGGGTGGTTGGATGCTGGAACAGGCTCCCCAGTGCAGTGGTCACAGCACCAAGGCAGACGGACTTCAAGAAGCATTTGGAAAATGCTCTCAGGCACATAGTGTGACTCTTGGGGATGGTCCTGTGCAGAGCCAGGAGATGGACTTAATGATACTTGTGGGTCCCTTCCAGATCAGCATATTCTGGGATTCTGGGATTCTATGGTATAATTGATAGGAATAGGAATGAATAGAAGCCAGCCTAAAATAGAGGAGTACATGCAGTGGCTCAGAGCAGAGCTGTCCCTTTGGCAAAGAAATTCAGCTTTTTCTATTGACAATCAAAAGTTTGAATTTATTAAAATAATTTTCTGTTGTGATGAGGAAGAAATGGGTTTGAGGTGCACAGGGGGGATTCTGGCATAAGAAATCAAGCCGTTTTCCATCCAGAAACTGTCCCATCATTTCTGCAATGCATCCATGCTTCAGAAATCGCTGTTTTCAGTGCTGAGTACATGGAGCAGGAAACATGATCAGGGAAGGCCTTTGAACAAGCTGGTCAGCTGCACAGTGGGGATGAGAACTGGGTTTAACTGCAGCTCTTACACCACTGACAAATGAACAGACCCTCCTCATCGAGTCAGTCTTTCTCAAGGGAGCGGCCAAACTCGCAAGATACTGCACTGAAATACTCATTGAAGAAGAGGTTTGGACATTTCAGGTCCAGAATGGCCTGACAGTAAAGTAACTTGGCAAACTCAGACCTGTGGGTACAGTTCACCATGTCTCAATACAAGGCATGGGCACCAGAGCCAGACACTGCTTTGCAATTATCAAAAGTTCAAGAGGGAAGGAAGTCAAGGGAAGGAGTTCCGTTTCCTTGAGTCAGGCATCAGAGAGAGGCCTCCCTGTGACTTGTACCAAACGTGCGGCCTTGTATCAAAGAGGTCCCCACAAGAACAGAGGT